TACTGATTGTTTGTAATTAAGAGAAATCTGAATAATGATGGTCAGGATTGCTCACAGTTAGAAAATAAATTTGTAATAATTATGGTCTATATTGCTTGGAATGAGAATAATTTCATTTATGCCGGTTAGATTGGTTGTTGAATAGAAAATATATATAAAATATTGGTAGGGATTTCTTCTCATTAAAATACATAGAATAAAAATTTGAATAGTGATGTTCTAGATTGCTAAAAATTTAAAGTAAATTTAAATAGATATGGTCTTGATTGTTTCTAATTGAACAATGTTTTGTATTGAATATAATTTGAACAATTATATCTGAATAATGATGGTCTGGATTGCTTGCAAAAAGAATAAAAGTTTGATTGCTGATGGTCTGGATTACTAATGAATGGAATATAAATTCTAATGTTGATGGTCTGGATTGTTTGTATTTAGGACATGAATTGGAATAATGATGGTCTGTATTGCCTGCAAATAGAATTTGAATTTGGATAGTGATGGCAATTAGAATATGAATCTGAGCAATGATTGTCTGTATTGCTTGGAAATGAATTACAAATTTGAATAATGAGTCTGGATTGCTTGTAGTTGGGATATAAATTTGAATTTTTCTTGTCTGTAGTGCTAATAATTCGACTATAGATTTGAATAGCAATGTACAGCATTGCTTGTGATTGAATGTAAATTTTAACATTTCTGTATTGCTTTGAACTAAAATCATATGCATTGCTTGTAATTAGAATATAAATTTGTGATTTGATGGTTTTTATCGCTTGTGATTAAAAACTAATTTGAATACTGGTGGTCTGGATTGCTTGTAGTTACAATGTGAATTTGAATAGTGATGATCTGTATGGATTCTATTTAGATTATGAATTTACATGAAGATGGTCTGTGATGCTTTTCAAAATTAGAATATACATATGAAGAATGAGTCTATATAACTTTCAATTAGAATATGAATCTGAATGGCCATAGTGTGGATTGCTTGCAATAAAAATATAATTTGAATACAGATGCTTTGTATCTCTTGTGATTGAAATATGAATTGGAATAATGATGATGTGTATTGCTTGTAATTAAAATATGATTTGGATTATAGATACAAAATTTGAATAGATAAGGACTATCTTGCTTGTAATTAGAATATAAATTTGAATGGAGATTGACTTTATGGTTTTTATTTAGAATATTAATTTGAATACCTATAATTGTATTGCTTACAGCTAGACTATAAATAAAAACACTGACGGTCTGTACTCCTTGTAATTAAGAAATAAATTTGAATAAAGATTGTCTGTATTGCTTGCAAGTTGATTATAAAATAGATTATTCATTGTTTGTATTGCTTGCAATGGAGATAAAGAATGATCGAAATAGAAATTCGAATAATCATGGTCTGTATCGCTAGTAATTTTTATTTTTTTTAGTAATGATAGTCTATATTGCTTGTACTTAGAATGTCAATTTGAAAAGTGATTGTCTGTATTGCTTTTAATTGGACTTTTTAAGTTTGAATCTAATTGCCTGTATTTTTCCTACCTAGTATATAAATTTAAATAATGATGGTCTGAGTGGCAATTTCAACAATTATAGTCTGGACTGCTCGTAGTAAGAATATAAATTTGATTAATGATGGCTAGAATAAGTGCATTGCTTGTAGTTTAAAGACTATATTAATTTAAATACTGACAGTCTATTTTGCTTCTACCTAGTGTATAAATTTTAAAAACGATGGCTGTATTGTATAAATTTGAGCAATGATTGTCTGTAATGCTTGTCAATAAAATATATATTCGATCACTGGTGGTCTGCATTGCTTGTAGCTAGGATATAAATTTTGAATTATGATGGTCTGTATTGATAAAAATTTGAACAATGATTTTCTGTACAGTTTTTAATTAGAATATATATAAAAATTATGATGGTCTGAATTGCTTGTAGTGAGAATATAAATTTGAACATTGATTGTTTCTATGCCTCGAATTTGATTAATGATGGTCTGGATTACTTGTAGTTAGAATATGAATTTGAAAATCATCGTCCGCATTGCTTGTATTCAGAATATAAATTTGAATAAGGATGGCATGTATTGTTTGTAGTAAAAATATAAATCTGAATAATGATTGCCTGTATTACCTGTATTTAGAATATATATTTGAAATAGTGATGGTCAGAATTACTTGTAATTAAAACGTGAATTTCAATATTGAGGGCCTGCATTTTTTTGTGTATTTAGGATAAAAATTTGGACAATATGGCCTGTATGCTTGAAATATGAATATAAATTAAAATATGAGGATCTGGATTGCTTGTAACTAAATATTAGAATATGAATTTGAATAATACTTCTCTGTATGGATATTAGTTTGAATAATGATGGTATGTATTGATTGAAATTAAAATATGGATTTGAATACTGATGGTCTGTATTGTTTGCATTATAAAAATACAAAAATTTCGACTAATTGCTTGTATTGCTTGTGCACAAACCCTTATACGTCTCGAAAAAATTATGAACACCTCTAGACGTGTGTGGCCAAGAAGGAACTATTTGTTGTGCGCATCGACGTACCGTTTCCTTATGACCATGAGTGATGAGGGTGTATATAAGTCATATGCTAGGCAGAACAGTAGCAAGAGTCTGCGCAAGTCAACCCTAAATCCTGAACGGTTGGAGATGCATAGTAGCTGAGAAAGTAATTATGTATCCTTGTAAGATTCGGTCTATCAAGGCGATATTATCGCCTTAGAGTAATTAAACGCGTAGGTAAAATCTAAGTATCGTGATAATTTCAAAGCAAATAAATGAAATGAGTCTTTTAGTAAAGTTAGGTATGCCTCGTGAAAACAGCAATACTCTCCGGGATTGTGAGGCTGAGACATTGCCTATATATAATCCTATCAGTACTGTTTTCGCCGAAGGGATTTTATTTAGTGTTTCGTTGTCGCTCTATAGAAACTACAGTATGTTTCGTTGGGGCGAATCTGAGAGACTCATAAAATCCTATCTTTAGAAAAAATAGTAAAAAAAGAAGAAGAAAAAATACTCTGGATGTCTTTTGTTATTATCTTAACCAATAACTTTCCACTTATCAAGAAATACCGACCCAGCCTTCATCAGACTGGCACATCTGGTTGGCTGATCGGAGGATAAACTAGGTAACGTTAATAGTCCCTAGAAACCTATATTCGGTTGAGCCATCTCGCTACCGAAGTATTCAGATAAAAATAGATTTGGAAAGTAAATATAGTTCTATTAATAGAACCAGACCAAATCTTATGTTTGGTATTTTACTGGGGCCTTTTAATGGCCTCGTCCAAATATCTGATATGTAAAATGGACAAGGTATTAATTAATAAAACCGTTAAAAACCATTTAGGAAACTTAAGTTCCTCGTAGAAGCTTCAAACGGGAATTTACTGACCACTTCTTCCCATCAATCTTTCCTGAACCACTACAGCGACTATGAGAGCCATACCATATGTTCATACATTGTATCATACATACTTGCCATTTTTGAAATAAATAATATTATCCCTATTAAGAAAATCTTTCCTGAACCACTACAGCGACTATGAGAGCCATACCATATGTTCATACATTGTATCATACATACTTGCCATTTTTTGAAATAAATAATATTATCCCTATTAAGAGTACGTTTTTAGTATACTTACTGCTTAAGAGTACGTTTATAACATCGAGTCTAATGTGGAGGCCCGGCTATTACACAGCCCCACCCAGCTTGAGACCCAGGAGAAGCAAATTGCTCACTCAAGCTGATTATGGGCCAAAAAGTGAGAAAGAAAAAACGGGTCGAAAACATTAAGTAGCATAATATATAGTTAATGTTTCTCAGGCGGAGAAGTTAAGCGTTCTCAGTTACCCTTTGAGTTTTGGGCTTAGGTTCAGTAGGTCCGTGGTGGTCGACTGGACGCTTCTTACACTTCAGTGTCTTAAGCACATATGTAGGGTGAGCATTAAAGCTCGGGATATATGCTGTAGGCGAATAAGTGTTAACTTCCGTGCCTTCAGACATTGGAAACATGCTATATTTTTAAGCTCGTGACTTATGCAGGCGTTTATGCAATTTTCGATTGAAGGCTTTTAAATAGTCTTGATTATCGAAAGCATCTGAAGTCAACTCAGCGATTGTACCGTTTATAATCGTGTACGATAGTATGTATAACCTCCCTTATCCGTTCTCCATATAATGTCTTTAAATTCAGAACGATCAAGAGGGGCATAAGTCATGTCTTCTTGCGAGTATAATCTCTGTAGTCGGAATACGACTTGTGCCTATATTCAGCGCAATAGAACCATCGGGGTTATTTACCTCATATGTTCCACTTTTAGTGTCTACTACAGAGATTATATATGGACCTGTCCATTTAGATGTTAATACAGTAGCATCGGAATTACGTTGACGGATTTTAATTTTGTCACCGACCTGATACTCTGCTATCTTCTTGGTAGTGTTCCAACGCTTTTGCCTTTGTAATAAGGCTATATTGCGTATTTCTCACATGCAAGGATATACAACGTTATAAATCCGTTGTACCTTCTCAAACCATGGTAACTCATGGTGATCAGGTTCGTCCTTGTAAAATTGTATTTGTAACTCACTATATCGGCCACGAAAATAGTGAGCGGGTGTAGTTCCTGTAACCGGATCAGCACACTCGGAATTGCCTTCTTTTTGCCCAGAAAAACCTCATTTGTATTCACCGATTGCAAAATCGCCTTCTTTTTTTACACATTTTTTTTTTTTGTGTGTTTGGCAGGGGAGGCTCTGAGCCCTTGCCAGCTAGCCCAGCCAGCGAGCCGGGGCCTGTATGTGCAATTTGCCGTGGCCATTGGAAGCCTTGCGGGTGAAACGAACCAGGCTGAGGGTAGCATTGTCCTAAACGCATCGGGGGCGGCACTGAACGCGGCTAGCGCGGGCAATTATGTATTTTTGAAATCAAATTTATTTCACGTATAAAAAAATAAGATGGCGGCCTTGATCATCTTTGCGATGATATTTTTGCTACTCGTGGTGGTCGGGGTAATCGTTGCGCTCGTATATTTTACGTCCACCACTGACGACACGACCACAGCCATAACCGAAACAACGACTACGGGCAGCACCAACACGGCCGCAGACTCTACTACTACTACTACTACTACTACTACTGGAGCCCTGACTAACCGATCATGTACTACTACTAGTGGTGGGAGCGGCAATCGTCGAATGCCGCGCCTTGGGCTCGGTGTGTACGCCGGACAAGAAGCCAGGGAACTGGATGTGGGCTTTGAGTGGAGATACTACACCATGGCCGAGCTCAGCAGCCCCACCACCAGGGGCGAGTACAACTGGACGACCCTGGAAAAGGATCTAGCTGGCGCCAAGTCCCGTGGCCGGCCAATGGTCGTGCGGATCCAGGACCAGAGTGGCACCAACTCTGGTGACGACCAAAAGTCTTTACTGCCCCCGTTCGTGAACCAGCCGAAGAAGGTGCTGTTCGGCAGCTCAAAGTTTGTGGGTGTGGACTGGTCGTCCGCGGACGTGTAGCAGTTTGAGCTCGACTTTTTCACGGCGTTCGCGGCCAAGTTCGATAAGGACACGCGGATAGCGTACCTGCAAACGGGCTGGGGGTTCTGGAGCGAGAGCCACCTGTACCACGACGGCACCGACTATATCAAGCACGGGGTCAACTATCCTTCGAAAGAGTACCAGGCCAAGTTTGTGGACCACCTGGCCGGCCTGTTCAAGTATCTGACGTTTTCGTTCAGCATTGACGGCGCGCTCAGCGGATTGCCCCTGGACGATCTCAGGTACGGGGTCGTTAACGACTCGTTGACGGCCAAGGGCAGTAGTAGCCAGGACACTTAATATGAGCAGCTCAACTTTGCCGAGCGCAACAAGACCCGGCCCAGCGGCGGCGAGTTCCCCGACTCGATCAAGACGCCGTTTGGGGATGCGGCGCTCCTGGATCGCGTCAAAAAGTACAATGTGCAGTACGTGTTTGCGAACCAGCAGCGCGAGTACCCGAACTGGGACCAGTCCGTGGCGGCCGTGATGCAGGCATGATATTAAAAAAAATATTAAAAATAAATAAACTGTAATTAAAATATGCGTTCAAAAACCCTGATTCTTGTCGTTGTTGGACTGCTAGTCCTAGGAATACTGTTTGTTGTTGGTATGAGATACTACGTGCTGGCATACATGGTGGCTGACCAAGCCAACTATATAGAAAATTTGAAGAAATCGCCCGAATCATCAGAAGAAACTTGATTTTATGTACCCGATTTTTATACCTGATTTATGAACCTGTTTTTATATACCCGATTTTTATACCTGGTTTATGAACCTGATTTTATATAATATGGCACATCCCCCAGAAACACTCCGAGAGCGTCAGCGCCCACTTTCCAGTCCTGTGTGCTTTCGGGAAGGATAAATATTTTCTGCAGCATGTCAAACGGGAGTGGCTCCCGGACTTGGTACAGCACGCCGGCACTGTACTGCCTGCACGTCGCCAAAAGGTCGATTTTCCTCCCGTTATAAAAGGTCCCGTACTGATTCAGCCCGTGCATATAAGCATTGAGTTGCCTTGCCGAGTTGGTCGAGAACACACCAATGGTCTCCAGACGCTTGCACTCTTCGCGAAACTGCGTAAATATCCGGCAGCACGTCGGTTCTGCGAGTACCGCTGCAAAGAAACAGAGGCCGAGATCAGGTACGTGGTCCAGCATCTTCAGCCAGTACAGGTAGCTGGGATTGTTGATTGCCCTTGTCAGCCGCCCCAGCTGCAGAAAGATACGCATGTTGTCGGCGTCGGCAAGTCTGAACATGCACGCAAGGAAATCGTGTGGTGCTGCAATGATTGTCGCCCAGGCCACCCCCACCAGCTCGTCCATCTCGGGGCCGGCCAGATTTGTGTTCCACAGCTCGACAAGCATCGGATACTCCTCACACAACAACATGGACTCACGTACAAAGTTGTCGAATTCCTGTGCCGTGTTCACCGCCAGCATACGCTGGTACAGGTATGGGATGCCTGTGGTGGTGGGGGACATCTTCCCGTAGTACAAGTAGGGGCCAAATGCACCGCGAACGACCTTGACTGTCCGACTGCTGACCGTCGTCTCGTTCGCCCACGGTCCCATCTGGGAGACGAACTGGGGGCACAGGAACTTTGTGTTGTAGCTGTCCGGCAAGTACTGCTTGAGAACATTGACGCTCGCGACGTGCATGGTAATCAGGGAATTGTGAGGCTCGCTGGCGTAGAACTGTAGAAATACGGCCTCTGGTCAGTCTAAAATATCAAGATCAATTGAGATATTACATTGGTTTTTATTTGTATTTTAAATAATTTAATACAAGCTCTTTTCCAATATTTCCAAAAGTGTTCTAAAATTCACTTTGATG